TTACAGCAACTATGAATGTAGAAAAGGTTAATTTATTTTATATATTTACTTTTTTTTCTTTAAATTTAATAAATAATATGTGTATATTTACTATTTTTTGGAAATTATGCTATATTTCTGTTTTAGATTGATTCTCTGGTTGGAGTGGCTCTTTCTTGGCTGGATCGGGTGAATCAGATGAAGCATCAAAGTTACTTGATTCAGAGGGATCTGAATCTGATGAATCTGTCTCGAATTCTGTTAAACAAGACTCAGGTTTAGGCTTTAACTTATCAATTATCATCCATGAGTTAAGGCAAATTACAAGTTGGAAGGCTTCAGAAAAGCGAGAGGCTTTAACATTCTCCTTGACAACAATGTAATTAATAAACTCCAGGACTGGCCCACCCCCCCTCTCTGAAGTTTAATTCATGATATATCATCAGGGAACCAAGTCAAATTAGCCTAACTGTAACATATGGAAGATGAGAATGTTTTAAATATTCAAGTAATAAAATGTTGCATATTGAATCATTTCTTAGTGTTCACAGACAGTCCAAGAGCAGTTTTACATGCATATTGTATGTGATTTATCTTCAATGGTTATCGTGATAAGGAATATTATATATAATTACCTATCGCTATATAATGTAAAAGATATAACTAACAGATTTCGTTCATGTTTTGATCTCGCTTCACTATTTTATAAGAAAAAATGGTGTTTCTAGTCAACTTTCTACTTGGTTCCCTTTTCTTGCAGCATGCATCCTAATTGTATACTATTGCAAATTGTAGAGTTCCTTAAATTCATTTCCAAAAATAAAATGAACAAATCTGATATTGAGGCTAGGCATAATTGGCATTGGACAAGATTTCAATTTCACATACAACATCATCAAGTTTAATATTACTGTTTTTAATGTGCCAAAGAATTGTCGCAACATTGCCATGATTATTACAAGGATGTTTTTCAGACTTAAAGAAATTGGTTTTAATGATTCAATAACATTGTGGTTGTTGCTAGGATTATTATAATCATATATAATGAATCTGACGGTGATAATGAATTTTTTGATGTTAATTTACAATTACACCCTGAGTATATCTGTTATTGTTGTTTAAGAACCCTTTTTGTTTTTTAAATGCATCATTAAAAATCAAGA